CACTGTTTAATAGTAGTTCGGTCGTACCTCCCTTCCTCGCTGCTCGGCTGAGCTCGAAGCGTGCTGTGGCCGATCGCATCTCGGTTCCTCTCGTCTGGCCTCTTTGACGCGGCGTACCAATCAGGCCCAGACGATCTCAATTGTGAATCCCGTATACAATGCCATTTGCAAGCCAGTCCTGTCTGACCCACATTCGTACCCATCAAGGCGGACATTTATTGCTACCCTGACGATGACCGACAACATTCCGTTATATGCAGCCACCTACAGGCCAGTCCTGCTCGTTTTTTTCTGTTATTATTTTTAAAGAGGGGTTTTTTCTCCTGTAAAATTAATCCAATCATTTTTAACATTTTCTTAGGAGTTTTTTTTCACCCCTCAATCATCATGTTTCTCAATGGACTTCTAATTTAGAAACTATGAATTGCATTTTGTAAAGATTCGGCCTACCTCGTCTAAAACTCGCATGCAAATTTATTTTAACTTGCTTTGATGGGACCCCGACGGGTCTTTAATAAAAAAAATTATCTAATTATTATTATCCTCGATTGTGGGGGCAGTTGTGCTTCGACTAGCGACGTTAACCTTAACAGGAGTCTGGTAGTACTCGAGTATACGGTCAGCAGTCTCCGCTAGCATCTGAACAGTCGAAGAAGGAATGTTAGGCGCAAGGATGGCTTGCACAGAAGGAGGCAACCGTTGGAGGAATAGTTGCTTGAACATGGTGGCATCCAGCTTTTATCCGTCTGCCAACTGCTCCAAACGCCAAAGAAGCTGCGTAGGCTTCCTGTCACCGAGGTCCTCCTCAGAAATTAAACGCTGGAGACGTTTTTGCGTTGAGAGGGAAATGCGGGAAATGAGGGCCTCCTTTAGGGCAGTATAAGGGGCTTCTGTGGGCGGGCAATCTATGATGTCGCGGAGGTCGGTGGCGATGTCCATTGGGAGTGCTGCCACAACATAGGGAAATTTGGTATCCTCTCGTGTGATCTGACGGAGGGCGAATCGTGACTCTACAGTGCGCAGCCATAACGCGATGTCACCGAGCCACACGGATGGCAGGTCAAAAGTGTGAATGCCGGCTATCGGCTGGCTGGCAGAATCGCTGGACATAATTAGCCGGGGTCGGTCAGAGGTCAGATAAATGGGGTAGAGGACTGGCGCGTTGACAGAGAGATTGAAGGGTAGCGCTCGTATTGGATGAAAGGGTGAGACAGTGTGAATAGCAAATAAGGGCTAGATGAATAATCTGATCGATAAAAATCAGAGTGAGGATTAATCCGAATGGAAATAGTTATGCACAGAGATTAAACAGAAGGAGCTATGAACGATATAGGGTCACCAGTATAAGAGACAAACCCACTAGTTGGGCACAGCGAGTAGGCTATCCAGGAAACGAAAATAGCAGTATCCCAACAGTTACAAACTAGTAAATAAGAACAAAGTCGGCAACAGGTAAACGTGCACGTGCGTGTTCTTTGTCTTATTCAAAGTTGTGTCAAAGCGTATTGTAACTGATTAAAACAAAACAGATTTAAATTTCACTACACGAACTTACTTTACACAATGCAAATCTGGACAAGAAAATCTTTGTCGACTGGACGTGTAATCCCTAAGATGGCTCTTGTCCTTCAATTTGAACAAATACACCATACTGCGCCTCGGAAATCAAACCCCTAGTACGTGGCAATACCGTCTGAACGGAGTGCAGCTCCGAGGAGCAGGAAAGCGGAAAAATCTCGGGGTCTGGGTGGCAGACAGTCTAAAGCCCTCTACACAATGTTGTAAGGCGGAGAAGGCCGCAATTTCAATGCCATACGCCATCAAGCGGGCATTCACAGTTTTCGATGAAGACTGCTTCTCCAAAGTCTTTGGCATGTTTGCAAGGCCACACCTCTAATATTTAGTTCAGGCCTGGAGAATGTGGACGCAGCAGGATTACAATCTACTCGAGAGGGTGTAGAGGCGAGCGACAAAATTAATAAGAGGTCAAGATGCGTTTTCACGCGAAATTCTCAAAAATGACCTTAAGCTCTATCCTCTGAGTTATAGGCAGTTTCGCGGAGACCTGATACAAACTTTTCGTATCGTGCGTGGCTTGGACTGCGCTCTCCGTTGTGACGACGTTTTCCAGCTCGCCACTACACCTGACCTCCGGGGCATCCCTTCAAACTACGTGTGTCCTAAGGTAGATTGACTGTGATAAAGTATTTTTTTCTCTGACTATGTCGTGGAACTGTGGAATAACCTGCCAGAGACGATGGGTATGTCTCAATTTGTTGAGACACATAATAATAATTTTTTATTAAATACCCTTCGGGGTCCCATCAAAGCAAGACGAGGTAGGCAGAATCTGTACGAAATGCAATTCATAGTTTCTGAATTGGTAGTCCGTTAAGAAAAATGATGAGCGAGCGGTGGAAAAAATTCCACTCCATTTTAAAATGATTGGATTAATTTTACGGGAGAAACAAACCCTCGTTAAATAGTAATAATATAAAAATGCGGACAGGACCGGCCTGCATGTGGCGGCATATAACGGATTATAAGCGGACATCGTCAGGGCAGAAATAGATGTCAGCCTTGAGGGGTACGTATGCGGGCCGTACGGGACTCGCCTGCATGTGATATTGTATACGGGATTAAGAACGGACATCGTCAGGGCAGAATTCGTACACCGGATGAGACTATTTGCGTCAAAGAGGCCAGACGAGAGGAACCCAGAAGCGATCGGCCACAGTCCGCTTCGAACCTAGCCAAGGAATGGCGAAGGGAGGTCCGACCCGCATACGTACCCCTCAAGGCTGACATTTATCTCTGCCCGGACGATGTCCGATTTTAGTCATGGCTGACATTTTTTTCTGCCCTGACGATGTCCGATTATAATCCGTTATATACCGCCACATGCAGGCCAGTCCTGCCCGCATTTTTCTGTTATTATTTTTAGCGAGGGTCTTTTTTCTCCTGTAAAATCAATCCAATCATTTTTAAATTTTTATGCGGAGTATTTTTTACTTCTCGCTAATCATCATTTAACGGACTACTAATTCAGAAACTATGAATTGCATTTTGTACAGATTTTGCCTACCTCGTCTAAAATTCGCATGTAAATTTATTTTTACTTGTCTTGATGGGACCCCGACGGGTCTTTACTAAAAGTTATTATTATTAAACCACTAGAAGACGGCGAATACTGAGGGTTCCGCCGTGAGCGTTGACAGACCGCATGAAATCGAAAGGCGGGAGATGACATAATCGCGAAAATCGTCGCTATGGGGAGGAGTGATAGCAGTGGATTTAGCAACCAAATGAAAACGGGGGGTTGTAAAGATATAAATGAAGGTTTCTACTTGATCTACCACTAAATCCCAGGAGGACCCTCCTCGAAGTCAAGAACCTGACTGTTCGGGAATGAGATCTTTAAATGTGCCTTTATGCTTTTCGGTGTAAGATGTTTGCGTAATTTCGACTTGAATACCAGTAAGTTAGGCGATGAGTGAATTTCTAGTAGAAGATTATTCCAAAGGAAGACATATTTGGAAGCAAAGTGGAGGAAGCGCTTAGATGTAGTGCAAAGAGGCGGCGGCGGAACCACCATGGAGGAGTTGTGCGTGGCATAAGCACGATCTCTGGGAGTGAGAGTGTCAATGAGCGAAAGATTGGAGCAAGAGTTGATGCGAAAAAGGAAGAAAAGACCAGCTTCGAGTCATCTTACCCACAACAACCTAATATTCGCCAGCTGGCATCTCTGAGCATAAGAAGTACTGGACGAAGCTTGAGAGAACAGTTTCCGGGTGAAAACCCTCTGAACATTTTTAATCTTATAACGGTCACAGGCGTTCATTAAACCGAAGAAAGAACAGCAGTATTCGAGGAATGGAAAAACAAACATTTGATAAAGTCTTAGCTTCTTTTCCGGAAGGTAAAATTATTCGATATGAATCCATATATCTGTGCGGCCTTCGTAGGGATCCTATTTGCATGAGGTGATAAAGCAAGTTTATTTGTATAAATTAAAACTAGGTCTTTTATAGTGAAGCATTCTGAGAATAGATTATTCTGAAAAATTATGGGACCAGGTAGTTTGGCAGGACCAAAAGACATGAAACTGCACTTGGATGGTGAAAACTCCATCTGCCATTTTGAACCCCATCTGCTTAAGCGTAGTAAATCGTCATTAATTTTTTTCAACAAAAGCGTTTGCGGTGTCCTTAGAATATGAGTAAACACACTTAAAGTCATCGGCATAGACAAAAGTTGGCGAATTACTGAGTTCAGTCAAATTATAATTGATGTAAAGCAGGAAGAATAGCAGAGTCAGGACCGTGCCTTGAAGTACGCCACTCGTGATCGAGTGAGGTGTCGAGTAGCTGTTACCAACAATGACTTTCTGATGTTGATTGAATAGATAGGGCCAGATGAAATCGAGTAGAGGCGGCCGGATGCCTAGAGATTTCAATTTTACTAAAAGACGTCTATGGGGCTCCTTGTCAAGGGCTCTGCTAAGATGGAAGTAGATAACTACCACTGATTGCTGTTTATGGCAAAGAGAAGTGATTAGATTAAGAAAGGCCGAATGGCAAGTTTCGCAGGATCGTTCAGGTAAAAATCCATGCTGACTAGACCTCAGAAGCCGATTAGCTAGACAGAAGTCAAGAATTTCATTGAAAATAATCCTTTCAAGAAGCTTTGCTAGAGGCGGCGTTTTGTGCAAGCGCCAATAGTTATTTACATCGGACCGAGATCCAGACTTGTAGACAGGAATGATAATTGACGTTTTCCATGTTTCAGGAAAGAATCCTTTTGAAATATAAACCGAGAATAAATCACTAAGCAATATGGGAAGGTCGGATGCCTGTTTACTAATCGAATTTGGAATCCCGTCCGTTCCTGAGCAGTGATACCAGTGATACCCTGACGATGACCGAAAACATTCCGTTATATACCGCCACCTACAGTGATAATTTTCGCGGTTTTTGATGTCATCTCCCGCATTCCGACCTCATGCGGTCTGTCGACGCTCACGGTGGAACCCTCAGTCTTCACTGTTTAATAGTAGTTCGGTCGTACCTCCCTTCCTCACTGCTCGGCTGAGCTCGAAGCGTGCTGTGGCCGATCGCATCTCGGTTCCTCTCGTCTGGCCTCTTTGACGCGGCGTACCAATCAGGCCCAGACGATCTCAATTGTGAATCCCGTATACAATGCCATTTGCAAGCCAGTCCTGTCTGACCCACATTCGTACCCAACAAGGCGGACATTTATTGATACCCTGACGATGACCGAAAACATTCCGTTATATACCGCCACCTACAGGCCAGTCCTGCTCGCTTTTTTTCTGTTATTATTTTTAAAGAGGGGTTTTTTCTCCTGTAAAATTAATCCAATCATTTTTAACTTTTTCCGAGGAGTTTTTTTTCACCCCTCAATCTTCATGTTTCTCAATGGACTTCTAATTCAGAAACTATGAATTGCATTTTGTAAAGATTCGGCCTACCTCGTCTAAAACTCGCATGCAAATTTATTTTAACTTGCTTTGATGGGACCCCGACGGGTCTTTAATAAAAATTATCTATCTATCTATCTGTAAGTATTTCAAACGACTTATGTGTTCCTTACTAAGATCTGAGGAGACATCGATTGTACTCAATGTCCTATCTGAAAGTAAATGAAGGAGAGGGACTGGTTCGGACTCAGTATTAAGGTTTTTTGCAAAGAAAGCACTAAACAACTCCGCCTTGTCAGTGTCATCGATGAGGAAGACTTTATTATCATTTATCAGGGGTGGAAGTTCGTGACCACGCTTAGAGGAGTACTGATGACGGAAGATGTTAGTAACGAAGTTGCCAGGGTTCGAGTCACTGAGAGCAAGTGATTCTCTTTGCCTGTCGCGCGCTTCGCGTGTCCTTGAGGCCATTTCAGAAATCTCTGCGATTCTAAGGTGAACGGATAAGGAACTAGTGGATAGGTCACGCAGCTACCGTCTCAACTTTTTCAGTCTGCTGTAAAAAAATGAGGAACGAGGGAGTCTGAAGAATTAGGCTTGAGATATGTACGCGGCACAAACTCTAGGATGCCCTTGGAAACATTGAACATGACAGGCGAAGAGGCCACAC